GGCTGTAAAATACCTAGTTTGTCAAGGTTACAAATGGAAAAGATTAGAAAGCAGGTTTATGGAGTTCCCAGCAAACTGTACATCTAGCACACGGAAACAAGTGACAAACAAGGAATAGATAATGTTCTTTCATCTATAACGCAAAATTATTTTCATATAAAATTCACATTATTAACATTCAGAGAGCAGTTTTCGAACTTCAAACCTTGAGGGATATAAGCGACATCTTTGTTTTGTTTAAAACAGACTTTGTTGTGCTAGATTCTTACACATTCTGTTAAACTATAAAACACACCTTGTTTGATTAAAGACAGACACATCAACGTAGGTAATTTTATAATGATCGAATAAAAAAAAGTCAAAAGCAAACACATGTTAAGAGAAACAATAGTACCACGATTTCGTGAACAATGAAAGTCTCTGGTGAGAAACATAACAACATTGTTACACAGCAGAAACTTATAAAATTAGCATGACAATGAAGTTGGGCACTTTACTCACAAAATTCCGTAGCGCACCTGGTCAGGTTAGTAGCATAACTATTTCTTACTATGCAGAAACCATAGGTGATGATAGACCAGAAGAGAAAGGTTATAGATAACAGATGGTTATAGATACGTATTATTCAATTCAAGAGAAAAATGGCCTGGTATGAATATAACAAAAACTATATTTTCTGTTAAATATCAAGTTGTATGAGCAAAACAATCAAATACCACAACAGTGAAGGCGTTGTGTTATACTTGTATCACTTCTAGAGTTTACATCAATTCTGTGTAAATTAATGTATAATACCGAGGACGTTGGGATTGTTGTTGTTGCTTGTTATTAAGCACAATGCTACACAAAGGGCTATCTGTGCTCTGCCCACCATGGGTATCGAAACCCGGTTTCTAGCAGTATAATACCACAGACATACCACTGTGTCACTGGGGGGGGGGGCGTTGTGATTGAAAAAGAAAAAATTGATGATAGCGCTACCTATGTAATAAATAAAATTCAAGTAAATGTTTGTTTTTTGAATTTCGCGCAAAGCTACACGAGGGCTATCTGCGCTAGCCGTCCCTAATTTAGCAGTGCAAGACTAGAGGGAAGGCAGCTAGTCATCACCGCCCACCGCCAACTCTTTTACCAACGAATAGTGGGATTGACCGTCACATTATAACGCCCCCACGGCTGAAAGGGCGAGCATGTTTGATGAGACGGGGATTCGAACCCGCGACTCTTAGATTGCGAGTCGAGTACCCTGTGTATTCTTTTCTGATAGAATAGTGGCATTTGACCGTCACTCCTATAACGTACCCCTGAATCCAAAATGTAGAGCGCAACTTTTGTGATAACGAGATGCGAACAACGGACAACTGATCCACACTTGATCCAACTTTGAAGACATTAATGCGATTTAGCAATTCAAGAAAATATAGTTTAAGAGTTATCAGGTTTTTCTCCTCAAAACAGCATGAAAGTCTAGATTTTACTTGGATGTTTTTATATGTATTGGTGAAGATATTCCATATATATTTCTTAATTACTGTTGTTTGTAGTTAAGCACAAAGCTACACAATGGGCTATCTGTGCTCTGCCCACCACGGGTATCGAAACCTGGTTTCTAGCGTTGTAAGTCCGCAGTCATACCGCTGTGCCACTGGAGTGCGACTAGTTTTTTTATCAGAAGTTCGGCTTCATATTTAACTGTTGAGAGGGTTTTAAAGTTAAAGAGAAAAATCGGATGACCTGTTTCTGCATTACGTTGATAGATAGCAGAGTTAGGAACTTTCTTCCAACTTTGATTGATATACCCATTTTTTTTTCCAGTGTTCGTACTTTAAGGTGACACCTAGTTTCACCAATAAAGAAGGCCTTACAGTCCCTGCACGTGTTTAAATAAATGACACGTGAACAATGGGCAATCGGTACACAATCTTTGAAGGAAAAATAATTTAAAATAGGTTTAAAAATAACTTTGAGATAAACTTAACACTAATTTAAAACTAAAAATATTCATATACACAAGTAAGAGTGAAAGGGACATAATTCCAATTAAATACAAATACGTTCTTAAGAAATACTGCACTATCGCCATCTACTGACAGTTAAAATATTAATGTTTGATTGCATAGTGTATGTAACATTACATTAGAACGTTTTTTTCTTCTTGATTACCCCAGTTATTTTGACCAGCTCTTTATATTAACTGTTGAAACTGATAAAAATATAAAATTACTCAATATGCTTACTCACATGTAGTAAAACGGGTCGGTAATTTGACGATTAATGTAGTAACTGAATAGACATATTTATCAATGATAAATCCAGTTTTATGTAATATTGACGAAATATATATAAATACATCTCTTTTTATAGTAAAATTTATAAAACTTTTACTCTTAAACGCATACTTGTTCGTTACTACCCTCAAGTGGATTTCACATTTTTCTTCCCTACTAAAGATCTCCTCCCCATTCCTTATTGTTTCTGGCTTGTCTATCTTTACACGTGTGGAGACTGTAAGGCCTCCTATATTGACAAAACCAAACGCCATTTAAAAGTCAGAGCTTATGAACATATGGGAATTTCCATCAAGACGCAAAAAAAAAAAAATGAGTAACCCCTGTGTTTCCTCTATACGCCAACATATTGAAGAAACGGGACATCAACCTATACTATCAAATTTCTCTATCCTCTGCAAGTCTAATACTGACCTGAAATTAATTATTAAAGAAACCCTCCACATCAAACAGCACTCTCCAACACTGAACAACATGCAGTCTTCATTTAAATTATGAATTTTTCTAATGTGTTCGTATTACTGATTTTACTTTTTTTTGTGTTTTCTTGCTGTAGTTTCTCGCCATGATTATTGTTTTGTGTTTTATTTGTTTAATTATTGTTATATTTAGCAATTGTACTTTAACAATGTCCAAAGACTTATGTAAATTTATTTTATTTAGCTTTAGATACTGAAGATGGAATCTGATAGAATTCCGAAACGTTTATGAATGTCCCCCTTTTTGTTAATAAACAATGTTGTATATCATAAGTGTCGTAATCTTGTTTATTATCAAACTTCGTTTTCCTTCGAACACATCGATTTTTAGACTGTTTATACACAAAATTACTTGTAGTCATAACTTTGTTGGTTACTAGCCCATAATAACACGTGAGTCGTATAAAAATATATACAGAATTACCATCAATACTGCGGTTAATCCCACTAGTAACTGACTGGGTACCCTTCTGTGTCGTATATAGGAAATAAGTTATTTTAATTCTGAACAAAAATGACTATCTTAATAAAATACATGATATTCTGGAAGATTCTAAAAATGTAAAACATTAAACAATGACCCTTTATCTCTTTGCATCCAACATGAGGAAAAAAATCCAAAGGTACCTAAGAGAACTAAAGAACAAAAAAATATTATATCTGAGAATGTTGCTTCTTCGCTTTATCCCACTGGCTCCCGTCCTGGTATGTTATATGGCCTTCCCAAAATTCATAAAGCAGGTTCCCACTCCGAACCATTCTTTCTACTATAGGCACACCTAGTTTCAAACTTGCTAAATTACTTGTACCTATGCTTCAGCCACTCACTACTGATGAATATACTATTCCGGATTCCTTCCACTTTGAACGTGATCTAAGTCAACTACCTCCCTTTGATGTTACCTCCCTCTTTACAAATATTCCCCTAAATGAAACTATTAATATATGTATATCTGAGCTTTCACGTAATAACATTCCTCTAAATGGCTTTTCTGGAAATCAAATTAAGACCATGCTGGATCTTACCGCTATGAATTCACATTTCCTGTTCAACAACACCTTGTATGAACAAATAGATGGCGTTGCGATGGGCTTCCCACTATGTCCAACTTTAGCTAATGCCTCTCTTATTACGAACAGAAATGGCTTGACACCTGCCCAGTTGACTTTAGGCCTGTTCTGTACAGAAGTTACGTGGATGACGCTTTTATTCTTTTTAATAATAATGATCAATGCTCAAAATTTTTAGAATACCTTAACTCACAACTCCTGCCATTAAATTTACATGTGAGGTTGAAAATAATAATACTTTAGCTTTTTTTTAAACATGCTCATTAACCGTAATGCTAATGGATTTTCCACATCAATTTACCGAAAAAAGACGTCCACTGGTCTCCTTACACACTTTGACAGCTTTATCCCGTTTACGTATAAACGAAACCTTGTTACATGCTTACTAAACAGAGCTTACAACCTGTGCTCCACAAATCTTAATCTACACTCTTAAATTTCGTTCTTACATGATATCCTGAAATGTAACTGCTATCCACAACACTTATTAGAAAACATTACCAACACCTTCCTAACACAGAAAGTCACAAATCCAATTAAGATACCAACTGTACCCAAACTTACTATATAATCGTGTCTTCCCTATACTGGTAAACAAAGCTTAAATTTAAAAAATCAACTCTAACCCCTGACGAAATCTTAGCCTTAAAAGAATTGTCACTAAATAAAAACATCCATGTTACACGCCCTGATAAAGGCAACGCCATTGTTTCTCTCTTACTATTAAAATTATAAAATGTAGACAGAGCAATATTTTTGAATTTAGTAATAAAAATATCATGGGATTGATTAAGATTGCCTTTATCGTACATGGAAAGATCTTTCAGATTTTTAATAGTAAGAGAGAACCTAACCCTCTAATGACCCTTTATCTCTTATCATCCAACGTGAGGAAAAAATCTAAAGGCATATACATCCTGTAATTAAAAACAAAATGTGTTAAAATATATAAAGATAGATACATAATGAAAAAGTATGTAAATACAAACAAATTTAATCAATTGTTTTTATCAAACAAAAATGAAATAGAATCCTAAATTCAGTAATTTTCACGAGGACAATGAATGAACAACTGTCTTGTTTCGTAATTCTTTTTTTTTCTGGAGCTACAATTCTAATTTTAATTATAGTCTGTAAAAGAATTTGATGGTGAGTGGCGCTTCAGTTTTGCCTAAAGAATGAGTTTATCAGGTTGTGTATTTGTAACGCAGAGAGAACAAGAAATAATCAAGTCAATCTCTTGGATTTAGAGGTATTATTGTACAATAACCTAAGTTAAAAGGTTTAAGATAGTTATGACTTTTTATTTCATTTTATATTTTTAATAATTTTATAGCCTTTTTTTTAACGACAATGATGATTATGTAATTGTGTGTGCACCATGTACGTAGCAACTGCCACTATTAATTTATAGCCTACTAATATTATTAGTAGTAAAACTATTGGTGATGTAACATATATTTAAAGCTATAAAGTGTAAAAATATAAGCATATGAATACCATCATATCGCTTTAGGTATTGTTTAAAAGTTTGGACAACTTTACATATACGGGTTTGAGTGAAGTCAGGTAGGGAACAACGTGGCCGGTGGGTCTTACTCTTAGCACGATTTTATTTTTAAGTGGTACTGAAATTGATTTTGCAGTAGTTGTATGTTGTCTTACATTGTTAATTTTCTAGTTTTATTTGTTATAGTTTTCAAAAATAAGTTATTTAAAATCTGAAGCCTTATTACAGTATTACTACTACTAGTACTATTATTTTATTTTCAATAATAAATAATATAGACTAGTGTATAAATATAATAAATTAATCTTTACTATTGACAGTATTGTATTGTTACATATTAATAGTAATATTAATAATATGTACATGTAATACTCTTAGTATTAGCATTATAACATTAACAGTTAACTCTTTCAACATGGGCTATAATTTTCTGACAGGAAATGAACCCTCAGCAGAATTTAACACAAGTTTCAACAGTGGATTATATTTTAGTTAAAAAAAATTAAATTAACAACCAGGAACATTTTTTGCAAAATCATCGAATATATAGTTAAACATTTTCAGC